AGATACATTAATGTAATCTTACTTTAAGATATTAAGTCTCAAAATGGAGATACATGTTGATATAGGAAGAGATATAGTATTTACTAATTATCTCATGTTTATAATTGAGAATCAGGTAGACAATGCCAGAATTTTTTGCATATATTTTAGGTAGATGAATGGTTTAGTTGATTAGCCTATGATGAGAAACTTTGATTTTACTCATTAAAGCTAGGTATGCAGATATCTCACCTCAAAGCAGATGTGAATACTGAATAACAGTGTTTATTCACAAATAGGTTTTCAGGTTATTTTCCATTATTTCATTATCTGTATTAGCATTTTGTTTGAGTATCTTCTTGAGTATTGATTCCTTCCTTCATGAATCTAGTCAGATTCTTATTGAGTAGGTGTTAATTCATATGACTTTGCTATGAATAGTAAATCAGTGTAAATGTATATGCATAGTGTTTGTGTATGTGGAGAAAATTAGAAAAATGAGAATTCCCTGAATAATCATTCTGTAACTATAATTTTAGATGTTTGAAATATAGATATAGATATATATATATATTTTTTTTTACCAAGATTTTGACACATGCAGTGACAGCTGTATTATTTATTTGTTATTATATTTTGTGTCAACATTTTGTAGCTACGTAAGATTAAGTGAAATTCTGTATATGAGATGGCCTATGTGAATATGCTTATTAGTGTGCAGTGTCAAGCTCTTTTTATTTTATGGCTGCTCTAACCCTGCTAGAGCATTGCTAATGTATATCTCTCCTAAGTTTGCTGCAGTGAAATTACACTCGAAAGGAGATTGAACCTTGAAAATATAGTTCTGCATCCTGCCAGAGACATCAAGGCATGGCATATGTTCTGTAGTCCCTAAAGGATGTGCACCATACATGTAGGAATGTTTGGGTGAGAACAGAGGGCAGACTACCATATTTTCCTCTTGGATGCTAGAAACAATTGAACTTTTCAGATCACTTAATGTGGATCTTGATTGGTAGAAAATACTACTCACTTTTTGTGTAGTTTGGGTTAGAGAGTAGATAGAAGGGATTGTTCATTGTTCTGATGTGGCATATCTATGTTATGTCATAAGACTGCACATCCTTTAAGGATTAACTTGTGGTAACTTAGTGATACAGAATATTCAGAAGAATGTTATTTTTCTGTTACTGTTTCAAGATTATTTAATTTTTTAGTTTTTTAGTTTTCTAGGGTATATTTTACAGATAAGATATGCTTTGAAAGGTCTTAGAAGAATTGACTGCATTGGGGAGTGAGTGGGTGTGTAATTGGGTGAATGAGCAAGGGAGAGAGTGAGTTAGTGGGCAGATGGATAATTAAAGGAAGGAAGGAGGGAGTGAGTGAGCTCATGAGTGAATGAGTGAATTCAGGAACGAGCATTTAGATAGGAGATGAGTAGGTGAGTGAATGTTGAATGTGTTGGTGAGTGGTTGAGTGAGTCCATGAATGAATATTGTGTAAGTCAAGTTGAATGAGTGAGTGAGTGAATTAGTGGGTGATTAGCCCTATGATAACATCTTTTACCCTTGCCAGACTGAGCAGTCTCTAGAGTAAAAAAATTAGATGCCTTGCAAACATAGGTTTTCCCAGTTGTCTGTGATTTTGGCTGCAGCTTGTATGAATTTCTTACATGAGACCAGAGACTTTTGGCCAGTTTGTTAAAATTGTGCGAGGCCCGACCCAAATAGTATTCATATATGCGGATGTGCGTATACTCAGAAATAAATGCATATCAATTTGTAGATATACATTCATCTATCTATCTGTTGGGTTATTATGCATGTTTAGACTGACAGATATGTATTTATTTCTGTGTATATGCAAGTTCGTATAATGAATATTCATTTAGTTGGGCCTCACACACTTTGGAAGACTGTACCTCCCCAGTGACAGTAGTCAAACAAGTGAATGTTTGTAATGCATTTAACATAGAACCTGGTGTAAATGGATTTGAGTATGTAAGAAAGTAGGTGGGTTTATATAGGCAGGGAGGGAAAGAGGGTGGGAGCAGTAATCCCCATTGTACACTTTGATCTTTTTTTTTTTTTTTGTATGTGTATGTGTGTTTATTTTGACAATTCTTTATTCATTTTGCTTATTATCTGTGTTCCATTCTTGAAGCTGACCTAGTTATCTTTCCTCTAATGCCGAATCCAGGACGTAAGAGTAAGTGTTTGCGCCAGTCTTTGCCGTGGCCTGATTTTGCTACCTTGAATTGTATTGCTCATGTACTTGCATCTTGGAGTAGCTGACATAAATCTTATTTTTAACCCGTTCGTGGTTTTCCATGACGTGACACATTTCAGTCTCTTTCAAGTGCCTGTCAAGTGGGCCATAAAGGCCAAGTAATTTTTATAGGAGTAAGACCCATGTAAATAGCTAGCCAGCTGCTTGTCGGTTACTTGCCTGATGCATTTTTTTTTTTTTTTTCCTTTTTGTAACTGTGAATGGGTTAATTGCATGGAGATTTTACATATTTCTAATTATTATTATGTTTTCTCTTCCCTTGTTTCTTTACTTTTATCTTTCCTTTCTCTGTCAATTATTTAAATTTTTTGTCTTCTCATTGTCTTCACTGTATCTTCCTTCTCCTCTTCGATTTATCTTCTGTTCATGTTGACCGATTTCATTTTTTGTATAATAATTACCTTTTTGTATTTACATTAATTTTTCTATCATAACCAATCCTGAAAACTGGAAGTGAGACAGACCAGTAGATTAAGATTTTTTTCTTAAATACATTTGGTTCTAGATTTATATATATATAAAAAAGAAAATAGAAATACCTTTTTCAATTAAATAGAGGATTAAATGCATGCTCGTATTTTAAGCAGTGGGGCCCTTACTTTAGTGTTGTTTTGATCAACAGTTTCAGGGCTAGCGACAGGTTGGAAACTCGACCAAGATCTTAGATAAGGGATGGATGATCCAGGCTTAGCAATTATGTGCCAGTATCCCATTTTTCATTGTCATTCACCCTTGAGTATGTATGGGAAATTTCCATTCACTTGTGACCAAAGTTTAGTTTTTCCTTTTTTATCCAAACCATTGTTATTTAAATGAATATTCAATATTTAGTATTTAGAACTGTAAGAGAATCACTGATATGGGATGAAATGTAGTGTGACCACAGGCCGTAAAGATTAATTTTTTTCCTTTTAGTGATGCATTCAGACCTATCTAGTTTTTTTGTTTATAACTGTGATTATGGTAGGGATTCTGAAAAGTCATCATGGATTGGAAAAGTTGACGGGAATATATCCAGACTAGTTTTATTTCTTCCCATTTAAAGTTTGCATCTTGGAAAGTAATTTCTACTGTAGAAGTGCATCATTCTTTTAAAGTTGCTAAAGTTGTGGCCCCATTGTAGGTTCAAATTTATTTGTTTTGATAGTATACTTAATGATTTATTTGTTATGCTTTTTGTACCAACCATATCACTCATTGTCTTTGAAAGTCTTAGAAAAGTTCTTTTAACCTTTATATTCTTTTATTCTTGATGTCATATTTTATTGATACTCTCATGCTGGAAGAAAAGTTGACGCCCATTTGTAAATTTTTATTTATGAATTTTTGAATGTATCAATGTGCACTCAGGAAAGATGCGAGGCAAGCACATGGGCTGCTTTATCGACAGCAGAGAGTCAAGGATCCTTCGAGGCCATGCAACACAACTGAAGAGAAATTCTCCTAGCATCTGTTGTGACATCTGTTATCAGCGAGGATACGTTTATGCTGGAGTCCAGTACGGGTAAGGGAGATTAATCTCTCATATTTTTCCTTTCATTTGACAAAACTTTGAGTACAATAATACCAAACTTTGATTAAGCAAATGATTGAGAAATGTGAAAGTATGTCTTATTTCCTATTTTTTTAAAATCATCTTTTTCACTAGGGTTTCAAATATGGGCATAGTAGAAAAAAAGTGTGTGCGTCCCAAGAGAATCAAGCCACTCCTGCTAGTCCAGCAAAAAATGCCAGGCTTTGAAATTTATGTCAATAATGAAGAGATATACATTAGAAATAGTGTTTCCCCATTGCTAACTAGAAAAGTGTTAAAACTTGCTTTTACTTTTATTTCAACTAACTCATATATAGTTTATTCAGTGGTTAATAATCTCTTTTCAGTAGGACTTTCAGTGAAATGTACCAATATATATGTTTTTTGATTGTGGCATCCAGTTGTTTTTTTTCCAATTTTTCATGTATATTTTAATTATGACTTTGTTTGTCTATGATTATTTTGAGATGTTGCTATTAAATGCAGAAGATAGAGATTTAAGCTCAAGTCTTTATTAATCTTTATCCACTTTATCGATATACAGCATCATCTTTATTGTTGTTGCTATTTTTGTCATTATTTTGCTTTTTTATGTTTATAGTCCTCCTAAGTGAAGAGATTTACTGGCTCAGATCCTCTTAGATATTCATTCCCTGCATCTGTACACCATACAACAGCAAGGAATGCTTCTGCGGAAATGAAGAGCTCCCTGTGAAGTTGAAAGCAGCTGAAAGCTTTTGCAACATGCCTTGCTCAGGGGATGAGAGATTGAAATGCGGGGATTATCTGCATATGAATGTCTATCAGACAGGCTTGGCAAGTGAGTTCAGAGATGTTACTAATTACACTAGCTTTTGCTTGAGTGATTATGAGTGTTAATTGAAATTTAGATTATTTTTTTATATGCTATTCCTTTTTTCAATTCCAATTTAAAAGATGTATTAAATTCCTCAGTCTGTTGATATATGAAAAATGTCATAACAGATATTGAAATGAAGTATGAACAGTTAGGAAGAAAAATTAGATTTGCTGTACATTTATGTGAGACATTCTAAAGTGAGATATGGAAGAGTAGAATCATTTACATATTTATATTCCCTTGAGATCTTTCCCTGCAAAAGATATCAAGTAGAATATCTTTATAGTGTACCAATCTTTTGAAATGTAAACTGACAAGATTTTTCTATTGATAAACACA